ATAGCCCATTGTGCATCTTTGTGCTTAACTAACAATCAACAACAGCAATTCCCCAAATGTTATATCGATATCAACATCGATCTATCAGTCTTGTATGTGTTAAACGGTCGATCTGAGGAAAAACTTATTATGAAGAAAAATATTTCTTTTTGTGAGGGAATGTCACGAAGAAAACGGGACTTACCCCGTCGACTGTCTGAAAGAAATGTTTTAAAAAACGCATAAAGAGAAGAACGTTTGGTATATATATATATATATATTCATGTCAGTATTATATATGTGCATTATTTTATTGTACAAATGTCGAATAAAATGATTTACATTGAATTGAATATATTCCCTTTGACACTCATCATAGAAATGACAACTGTCAAAAAGCGCATGCGGTAGCGGTTTTTTTCTTTCGCTCAGTAAATGACAATAAACGGTGGCATGTAGCGGAAAAATCCCAGTGTCTACTTAGCGAACCTGAGCACTTAACTGTGTTGGATGCACCCATTGCTTGAAACCCAAACATTTTTGGCAACAATGTTTTGCAGTCAGTCTCCTTTGGTTGAAAACAAACGCAACACAATTTTCCTTATTAAAATAATACATAGAATGAATGACAAAAGACGGTTGCAATCGGCCCACTAGACAATCATATTACATATACGCTATGATCCAAGACGTTGGGTTGATTGCACATTTTATATTTATTCATCACTATTTTAAAGAATCTTACTGTTGCATTGTTTCAACGGGCGTGTTCTGGTGTTGTTATATTTTAAAAGCAGTAAACAGTACAAGCATCCCAAACACAAAAATGCGACACATTAATCAATAAAAGTGAAATGAAATAATGTGTTTGTGATAGTTGCTATAATTGGGATCATGATAATGGAATTATTTTAATGCATATGAGAAACCTTTATTTGCTAACACAAACAACCTCTGTCAATTTTTTACATAATCAAGATTTTTATAGAATACCAGTATAGTAATGATAAATCGATAGGTAAGAGTATCAGTGAATTAAAAGTATAACGAAGTTAAAAACTATTATTAAATTAGTCAGTCATTAGACGAAACATTTTCGTGAAATTAGTGCTATAATACTTTAACCTGAGAGTTATCCAGATTGCCCAAGGTATATATATATATATATAGGTAATGGGACTATGTGTATTCATGAGGGTTTAAATCTATGTTATTGCTACTGAAAAATAAATAAATACGAAATTAGAAAATCGTAAATCGTCCATACATTTATTTTTCTTAAGT